GTGTAAAACGACTAAACCCTGAAACTAACCTTATTAATTTATTCTGAGATTTTTGTAACTTATCCAACCAACCACGAGACAAATCAGACATCCAAGAAATACATGCATATTCGAAATGACATAGTACTAAACATGATGCAAGTGATTTTATATTCTGTTTATCAAGAAAACTAACATGTCTGACAAGAAATTTTGTCCTAACATTAACCTTACCCAGAACTTTCATAGCCATATTACAGCACTTATATCAAGGACACATCCAAGATAATTAACAGAAGTTCTATTTGATATTAAACAATCCCCCACATTAACAGACATCTTAGAAACCTTATTCAAATTCTTTTTAGACCAAAATATGGATTCCGTTTTACCTAAATGCAACATCAGTTTGTTTTCAGAGATCCAGTCTCTTACCTTACAAAGCTCCTTACCTAAATGCACTTGTATCCTACCAACATCCTTATCTGAAATTATTAAAGCAGAATCATCAGCATATAAAAACAAATTACAATCACAAACTGCTTGCATGTCATTAATATATAAAAACAAAACAAAAGAGGGCCTAAAACACTTCACACTTCCCTGAGGGACTCTATTTTTAACAAAAGTATCCTCAGAAAGAACCCCATCAATTTCTACACTCTGAACTCTCCCAGTTAAATAAGAATTCAACCAGGCTATCACTTTACTTGAAAAACCCATGACACTTTATTTATCTAAGATTATTGAATGTTTTACTGTGTCAAAAGCTTTCTGGAGGTCTAAAAGTACCATACCACACATTTTACCTTCATCAATCTGCCTCCTCATAAAATCTGTTAAATAAAGAATTGTAAGAATTATCAGTTGAATAAGATTTCCTAAAACCTGACTGAAAATCATAAATTAAACTACTCCTACTTAAATACTCATACATCTGTTTATACACAATTCTTTCTCAAATTTGAGGCCACATTAAAAATGGAGATTGGACGATATTTTCCAGGATCGTGTCTTTTACCTTTTTTAAATAACGGAATAATTTTAGCTAACTTCATATCAGATGAAATATACCATTTTCCAAGGAAAGATTAACAATAAATGTACAGGGTGTCCGCGGGGTCTTAAAAAGTATTACAAGTTGATAAATCAATTTAAAGAAAATTAAGGCCCTTAAAAAGTATTAAACAGTCTGAAATGCCATTTTCCAAGGTATTTAATTTTGTATTTTTTCATTATGTATATTTGTCGAATAGTGGGGTTCTGTGTATTTTATTTATGGAATCCCGCAAGATTTGACGTCATCTGTTACGGCGCTCACTGACTGACTGCGCTGCTGTGTGATAGCATGGGGCTTGTTGATTCCACTCTCGCCGAATTTCTAACCATTACTCCCAACTGCTCCTGCGATTTTTGTGTCCGCACCCGCAAACATTCTAATATTGTATATAATTTTCACGCATCAGGGCACCGCTATCAATATGTGGGGTATTTATATCTCCTTTGAATGAATGCTTGCAGTCGTAGTTCACTTTCGATTTCGCGATCGCACGCGCACTGTGTAAAAAGAGCACATCCTACGATAAAAGATTTGTCAATGCGCTCGGGATCTGTTGAGAAGCAAATCCTCCAACATCTTGTCCGTTATCTCTCCTTACTTTTGACCCGTGATTAGTCAAATCTGACTTCTGCAGCTCGTGTTGGATGCAGGGTTGTTGTTGGGGTTTTTTTCCACAAAATTGGGCTGCTTTTAAACTGTTGCCATTGGTTGATTTTCCCGTGAGTTAAAGGTTTGAAATATTGCATAAATTACAATTGGTTGAAATGCTTGTACTCAAACATTTTGCATTCTACTTGTAATAAAACCGTGCTAAATGTTTTGGGCCACACTAGTAGGAAGCATTTGAGCTGTGTTTATGATAAATGTGCATAACAGTGACTGTAAAATATGTATTTTATGGATGGAAATTACATTTTTATATTTGGGACATGGTAATTGCGCTACTTTGGGCGTTTTTTTGTTTTGTTTTTACTGGCATGAGCTTGGAATGCACAATTAAAATGATGTAATAGTTGTGATCATTATTTTACCTTCCATGATCATTCAGACACGATCAAGTGCAGTACTGACACTCTGTCATGTCTGTATCAAATCAAGCACTCCGTAATCACAGGTAAACGGTCTGATCAGTTAGGTGTTTGTCATGAGAAGTGTTCCATAAAACAGCTAAGGTTTGAGTTGATGTGACAAATACATCTTTTGAATATACTGTGTGAACTCATTGCCCCGTTAGCTCGGAGAGCTTTATTTTCCCTCCTCAATAAGTTTTGTCAGTTGTTTTGTTTATTGGTCTAATTCTTGTTCCTTTGGTTGCGTTGGTTAGTCACTCACTCAATTAATTCTCTTGTGTTTCGTTCCCCACTTCTGAATTGTTGTATTGATAAGGTGTTATCACAAAGTAAGTCGGTT